GTTTCTGCAGGAAGTGGGCCGAGGCTCCACAGGAAGTGTCCCCGCTCACACAGAAATGTCTGAACTGTCCCTTTMATGTTAATATGGGTCTAATTACTGAGTAGCAGATACTAGTTAACCACATTAACTAATAGTTTTTACACAGAAACTTCTTACGAGTATCAATCAGTAAGTAGGTCATAAACATCAGAAAGTGATGCTCTTACCTGGTTAGTTAAAGAACAACATGGTATAATCCTATGGAAAAACTAGTTAGTACTAGTCAATAATAATCTTTTAGTTACTCTAGGTTTCACTCACCCATCACTAGTTAGTCTCAGTAAAATAATTCATCRTTAAATGGTTTAAATTTTAAAAAACATTTAGTTTACATCAGAAACCAGTTAACTCMTGTTATCAGAGTTAGAAGTTTAACTATGAACGTTACAAACAGACAAACAATAACCAGTTATTAACTATAACATTTATTAACTGGATGTTACCCATATGTGACTAGCTAACTAACCAATCAACCATTTAAAAGGTGAACTGAAGACTTGTTGGTWAGTGATTATCTCTTAACAGTTGGTTCTAACAAAACTAGGACTAGTTAATGTAAAATCTTAGAGAGCGTTTGAACAGATAATCATAGATCTGTTAGTTAAGACTAGTTAGTAAGTAGTTATACAAAAACCACTAATCATATACAGGATAACTAGTTAACAACAGACAACACGGAGTAGTTAGTTAACTGTTAAACATTAACAATTACACACTAGAGCAGTTCCATTAAAACAGATAAGAGACTAGTTAGTTAAACACTACAGTTAGTCAATGGTTAACATATGACCCAAGACTAGTCAGTTGTGAGTGGTACTAGTAGAGTTTGGATGAGAACCAGGTCCGATCAAAACCCAGATCATCATCTGAGGAAGACAATGAATGGAGCTGATCCTGAATATGACTGGATTAAAAYAGTTTGTTACTGAAACAGCTGATTAATAATCGTTCTCTAAAACATCCAACCATCATCATCCAACCAGTGGGACATGTCCAGAACACCTCACCAGGGAGGAGTCCAGGAGGCATCCTAACCAGATGAACCACCTCAACTGGCT